CATATCCTCTGACCTCATGCAGAATAAGATTAGACATATTTGTAGTAGGCACATTCTGAATAGCTTTCCCAGGTAAGCTTTTTAAAAGCAATTTTGGAAAGGAATTCATTAACTAAATGGGCCGAAAAGTTCTTTTTCTTTGAGGAGAGCTAGGTTCTTCCTCAAAAAGTTTCTTATGCTCCATTAAATTAAGTGTAGGATATTCTCATTACTCTCGCTGCTAAGCAGGACATCAGCCGTAGGCTGCAGAGTTATGCAGTGCTTTCATAGCTATGACTTCTATACTACACTTTTTAGAGGTTTTATTTTGAGGAAGGAAAAAGGACATTTGTCTGAATATGCAGTCTAAGTTGTACATATTTCCCATCATTCTAAAAGAGTGAATCTGTGAAGTAAAATTTTATCTAAATGCTAAACTTTGAAATTTAATAAGCCAGATTATTACAATATTGTCCACTAACTAGTTTATAGATTTTAAAAATAAAATACATCCTACTGTTAAAAAAAATTATAAATAAATAAACAAAAACCTAAAAGAGGCTAGGGAAGTGTTTTCTTTCAGAGGTTGTTCAGGTTCACCCCATCACAACCTAATATTGCCATTTTGGATATGACTGGCAAGTGTCTTGCCAAAGAGGTCAGGTGTAACATTTCTTTAATGTTTAAAGTGAGGGAAAAAGAAAATGCCTCAATAAGAAGAGTCCCTAGAGGAACCTTAGAAGTCCTGGGAATATTGCTAAGCCCAGGAAGACAGGAGGGCACATTCGGGTCACACGAGGGAGGGGTCGTTTGGACAGGAGAGCTCCTGAGTGTGGAAGACTTCCTGCGACCGAGAAGGACTGACAGGTGTGTGACTAAGAGGGTGGGCATGTCTGTGGCCAGAGACGCAGATGTGGGGAGGAATGCACCTTAAAATTATGCCACAGTTCATTCCAGGACCGCACAGGGCACAGGACTGGGTCAAAGCAGGTCAAGAGATGACCTCCAGGGAAGCCTCCTTCCTCGAGTCATCTGACCAGGTCTGGCCAGAAGCATGGCCTTCTGAGAGTCTGCACTCTATCCAGACAGTTATCCCTAATGTGACTCTCCCTAGCTCCATCGTCCCTGGGAACTCAAAAGCACATGTTGCAGTGGTTGGACCATAGCGATAGAGTCATAGGAATAGATGCTCAGGTGAGACCTGGAGCAGGGGCCCCATGATGGATAGGGGAGGAGCCTGCTGCTGTGGGAACTTTCTTAACACAGTGGCTGAGCTCAAAGACTGCCAGTTATCTTTTGGGGGGCCAGTGTTACATTTATTTGTTTGATATTAAATGAATGAGTTACGTACCCATGATGGGCTAGAGACTGTAGTAGAGACGCAAGATGAATATGATTAGAATCTTCCTGGGGAAGCTCACCCAGAATGTTGGAAAGAAGCAGATACAAAGAGCTAACACGTGCAGCAACCCTGTAATTTACTTGCAGGTGTCAGAAAATCTTCTCAAAGTTGTCATGAAGAAAGAGTAGGAGTTGGCCAAGCTGATAAAATGGCCCAGGAAGTAACCAGTATACCAACGATTAAAAATGCAGACCCTGGAATGGAAGAAGCCTGGTTTCAAATGTTAGCTTACCCATTTACCAGATTATAAAACCTGAATCAAGTCTGTAATCTCTCTGAGCCTTAATTTTCTCGTCCACAAAGTGGGAATAATTCCACTCAGCTCAGAAAGCGAATGAAAGGAGGTGATAGCTGTAAAGTTCTCGGCACAATGCTAGGCCAAAGTAACCACCTGCAAACGTAGAATAGATTAATGGTACACTGAGAAATCCCAGTCTTAGAGAGGCCCAAAATTCAAGCGAGCTTTCGCTCACAGATCTGCAACAACCCTCTGGTCAGTCAGAGCGTGTTGGCATGGTGGAATGTGCTAGCACAGTGGAATGTTCTTGCACCTTAGATTATGAAATATACAGATAAGTTTACTCCAATCGTCTCTTAATTTCTTCTGGCTCCTGGGCTTTGCAGTATAAGTCACATCCAGTCTGTAGCTTCGGATCCCAATGAGAAAGAACTGTAATGCCAGCTACCATCCCACCCCCACCCTTAATGTCCTACCCACCAAGTGTCCACAGCTTCCTTCACAGGGCAAAGCCGCCCTTGCCCCAGCCACACGTGTACTTCCTTGTGTTTTCTTTCTCTGCCCCACCTTGAAAAAAGAAAAAGAGAAGGAGTAGAAGGGGAATTCCATTTTAGTTTAAACAGAGCTCAGTAGGAAATGACATTCGTTTTCACAAAGAGGAAATTAAGCCTTTTCCTTTACCATATAAAGTTGTGCTAATGTTGGCTCAGCCATCCCCTCATATATTCAAACTATAAGGCCCTGAGGTGTGGAACCTCCCAAGTTGAAAGTAGCAGCTGCTGTGGAGGTAACAGGGAGCTCAGGACACAAGTCATCCTAGGCTAGGGGCCTGCTGAAGGTCTTCTAGTTCCAGAGGACCCTCACTACCAAGGCTGACACCCTCTGAGAAGAGCCATTGGGTGGGAGAATAGTTCATAAGATGGCCCAAAGTACAGTCTATTTTACCTGACATGTTTTGGCCTCAGAGTGGGCAGTGCCAACCCTCAGAAGTGGGCAGCTGCCCTCATGGACACATCAGGTGGAAAATCACCTGCTAATTCCGGGTCTGGTCACTCGGCCTACCTATGACCAAGAAAAGGTGGGCTTAAAGAACCCCATTTAAAGACTGAAGTTCACTGAGAGCTGGACAGCCACCAGTCACATTGAGGAGAAGGCACGTTACTTGATCACTCAATGTTTTTGAAAAGAAAGAACAGCACTTGAGTTGGGGAATAGCCTGATTTTTCTTTAGAACGAGGTAGCATATAAATAAATTCAATAAATCACAGAATTGGAAGAGATCCAACTGCTCAGAGTTAGGGAAGAAACTTTGAAAAAGGTCAAATCTACAATTTCCTAGATTAAACTATCCCTGAGGCAAGAAAGAAGAGTTATAGGGAAACCAACTATATCCCATTTTCTAAAAGAGAATTAAATTAAAAGGTCAGTTTTTAAAATTGCTCCTAATTGCAATCACTGTATCTTTTTGAATCTTGAAATACTCCCAATACCTTACCTTGCAGTAATAACTCCTCACACAAGCTCTTAAAAGAACTGTCAATAGGCTTCCCTGAACTTTGAATTGTTACTAATTTCATCACAATCTGGAGGCTGAGAAGCTAAGTGCAGCCTTTCAAAGTAGGAATGGAGGCTTTTCCTACGGGGATCTGACCTCAAGCTTTCTCTGTTTGATCTGGACTGAACTTTTGGGGCCATAAGTCTATCTTGACAATAGTAAAAAAAGAAAGAGAAAAAGAAAAAAAGGAAGAGAAATGTGCTGATGATTATTCTAATCATGCTCTAAAAATTCCAGGGCAAGGAGATAGGCATGTGAGTATCCAGAAGTGTGGAAGCTCTGAAATGATGCAATACGGTCCATCTGTGTAGCCCTGGCCTTCGTCTCTGTTAGCAGTGAACCTCCCGGACTCTTTTAGAAATTACTGGCATGGATGTCTGAATAGTCTTCTTTCACTCAGAACTTTTGGGGAGTTACTACAGAGTTAATTAGTAGACTGATTTGCTTCTTAGCTCTACTCTAATTCCTTTGGTGGAAGGGCTAATAAGAACAATATACAAAAGATGTGAAAGATAAAAGGAGAAATGGCAAAATAACCTACAAATAATAAATCTCCAAAAATGTGGGGCAGACCCATCACCTTTGAGACATAGTCCGTGCCGGTCGGGCACCAGTCCAGCACAGTACATTTGGAGAGGACTTCAGCTTGGCACACAGAGTGTCTCACTTAATCCTCTGAAAATCGTGGGCAAGAGCAGAGTAGCTCTTCTTTCTCTGGTGCTGCAGGTGAGTGGCATACGAGTGGACAGGGTTAAACAGCTCACGGTCACACAGCTAATCATAGGGGAACCACACTTGAATCCACATATTCAGACTCTAGGTCTCTGATGCTCTTTCCAGTGTATCTCAGAGTCCTATTCATTTGCTGAAGTAGTAAATAATTTCCCAGTGGCCTGAAAGAGTAAATGGGGTCCCTACCACCAGTGTTAGTGCCAAAAAGTCACTTTAACTATAGAGGACAAGAGCTCAATTGATTCTTGGCTTTTCTAAGGTGAAATAAAGCTGAAGTATATACATTATTAGTCCAAAGCTCACACAAAAAGAGTGTTGTGCTTCAAAGCAGTAATCTCTGGAAGCAGTAGGGTAATTCCTCCAAGGCCACATGCTCAAAGGGTTTGTTTTTTTTAACTGTTCATTAGTAGTTGCCTTTGGACCCAGATTTCAAACTATACAATAAAACATTCATGTTAATACTGCAAACAAAAAATACCGTTACCTACCAGGCTTGACCTTATTTTTACACCAGACTCAACTTTATTCTCTACAAAATCAAATCTACCTTTCAAGGATGAAAACTGGACACACTTCCCAAAGAGGAATTTTTAAAAATGCTTTGATTTGATGGCCCCATTAAGATTAGTGCATGTCCTACCTAGATGACCCTTTTGAAGTGGACACCACTGATAAAGCTGTATGATTCTGATTTATTTTAAAACCAACCATATTACTTTGTAGCAACCCTTGAATAAAACATCCTATGTCTCCCGATATTTTGCAAATGGTAGAAAGAGGAGCTAGAGCTTATAAAAGAAGAAAATAAGATTTCAGGAGATTTGTATCCTCTACTCCTGTAAACAAAACAGCAACAAAAAATTGGTGTCTTTATTAAAAAGATAATCAAATATTACTGTGGACTGTTCTTTGATCTCTAGGCCAGCCAAAAGGTCTTAACAAATATTGCCATTTATCCAAACCTCACCTAGTATGAAAAGCATTTTGGTAATAGAATTAAGACCCTGGGTTTTGTTCTAGCTCTGACTTCTAGGTGAAAGGATCTGCGATGAACACATTTCTCATCTTCTCCCTGGTGCCCTCCTCCTTCACAGGCAGCATCGCCGCCATTACCGTGACTGTCATCGCCGTGGTGTTGTTGGTGTTTGGAGTTGCAGCGTATCTGAAGATCAGGTGAGACCTCACTCTTACTCAGAAAGGAAAGGATTCCATTTTGTTGGGCTCCAGGCTGAGAGTTGTTTTGCTGACTGCTTGTTTTTTAATAAGTATCGGGGCTCTCAGATACGTTGGCAGAGAAGTGAAAATGGCCAGTGTACTCCACGATGGACAGGAATAGATGGTACAGTGTCTGAACCTTGGCAAAGCAGAGGAAATTAGCTGAAATACCAGCATGATGAAGTAATGGAGCGAGAGTGAACCTGGAGTCAGAGACTGAGGCCTTGCCACTCTGCCCCTAACTCACCTCATCACCTTGAGGGAGGGGCCACGAGACTCCTGACCCTCAAGTTGTCTCATCTGTGAAATGGGGGACAGAGGTGGGCTCAGTGGTTCCTAAATACTGAAGTTCTGAACACTGATGTGTGGACGTGGACCCAGTCTGTAAGGAAGTTTTCATGGGTACTGAAGCAGAATGCTGAAAATGCAGGAGTGTGTGGTGTTTTTCGTAAGATTATTTTCTCCCCTGAGTATATCCTTATGCTTTTGTATTAAAAATATCTTTTATCATGAAATGAAGGTGATCACAGATGGTGGCTGAGATTTTCCGTTTCTTAGCCAGACAGAAAGGGACAACGCCCTGTGAGCCCCCACTTCTGTTGCCTACCACTCTGTGAAATTCCAACGTCTCAGAACCACATTGCTCACCCTGAATGTCCTTCCAGCTGCATAACACCAAGGATCAAGTGACAGTCTTATTTGCCAGTCTGTGCAGTGCCACCATGGTGAACACAGGGATATATGCTGCCATGGCGAACACAGCCACTCGTTGCCATTCGTCTCCCAGCAGCCTGAGCCACCTTTACAGAAGCTCCTTTGACCCTGTCACTCCCTCCCTTAAAACCGCCCAGTGGCTTCCCTGGCCACTTAGAATTAAATCCTAACCCCTCAGGCTGGCCCTTGAGCTCCTCCACGGACCCACCCCTGCCTACCTCTTCTCCATCATCACAGCTACCTCTCCTTTGTAACCGCTGAGCTGCAGTCACACTGGCTTTCTGTCCAATGCTTACAACAGGCCCGGTTCATTTTCTCTCCAGGCCCTCGGCTCTTCTGGGTCTCTCTCTCTGAAATCTCTTCTTTCTAATGCTCCCTCCTACATGGCTTTCATATCCCATCCTCCAGGAACTTTCCTTCCAGTTTGGTTCCCGTTATTAATTTTCTTGTTTTTATTTGGCCTGTTATAGCACTATCTATCATTTCATTTGCTTTTTATATATTTCTTTGTTTGGTGTCTCTTCCTGGCAAAAATGTAAGTTCCACAAGGACCCAGACTTTATCTGAGGGCAAATGCTGAGCACAGAGAAGACGCTTGATACATGGAATAACTGAAAAACTGAACAAGAGAATATAAGGTCTGTCCTGAAAGTATCCAGCCAAGTACTATGAAAAATAGAGACGTTTGTTGAAGAAGATACAAGATACAAGAAACACTGTACATAGGACAATGATGCCTCAGTCCCCTTCAAAGTAGGCACCGTGGGACCTCACGCAGTTCCCGTTGCCATGAGCTGCCCTGTTCTATTTTCCTAAATCTCATCGATAGTCTGAAATCTCTTCTCTTTCAAAGGTGATTTTAGTTTTGGGAAAAGCCAGAAGTCACAGAACACCAAATCTGGGATGTAGAGGGGTTGAGCACCTGGGTGATTTGATGTTTTGCCAAAAATCTCTGCATGAGATGTGATGCATGAGCAGGTACATTGTTGTGATGCAGCTGCCAATCACCAGTTGCGCATAGATGCGCCCTTCTAAATAATCCAAATAGTTTCTGTGGAGGGATGCTCAAGTTTAACGCAAAATTTGATGCAGATTTGTTGCTCTACTTACTCAGACATCTTGAATGTGACAGCCACACCATACACATGCTCACTCAATGGCATCTGCTGCCCTCATACCTAGTATAGTGATGTCATCATTGTTCACATATGCACATTCCAGTTCACTCTCGTTGGCTGCCAGGTGACATCGATGTCACGCAAACCATTCTTGTTGTATTAACAATGGCTGGATTTTTTCCAGACACACCTCACAGGCACTCGGGCACTGTCGCGTGTACTCACATACAATCCTGAGAGATGTCTCTCCACACAGCTGTGCTTCTTCCTCAAGAGGCACTGTGTCCTTCCCTCCTCTCATGGTTCCCCATGCAGAGATCATGCATTCAATATTTCAGCCCTACACACCCATCACCTTTGCTGCCCTCTCTCCTGGCCCTTCCTCATCAACTCCAGTCACCCTACACAGACCAGTGCCCACTAGGGAACTCTCTCTAGTTCCTTCCCTCTTATTTCCCTCCACCTTTTGTCCTAAATGTGCAGCCAAATCAATCAGGTAATGGTACCAAGTATAAGAGTGTCCTGTAATATCACCTGTACCTAAGATACGAAGAACAGGTGTAGAAGAGAAATTGTAAAAACAGGGCCAGCACTACCTGTGTTTTAAAGCCTTATAAAATCATCCTTAAGTCTCCTTCATATAAAAAAAAAAAAAAGACCTAAAAGCTTTTTCTTCATTAAGTCTATATTTCCTAGAGCAGCAAACTTAATTTTATGAATCATATCTTACTGAATGACACTCTTTTTCATCTGGTTTAATTACTAGTTTATTACTGCAGATACACTGTATTTTAGTTGTACAAGTAAAATTGGCTTTTATGAACTAGTCTAGGAACCTTATTCCCACTGTATAACAGTTTCTCTTTGTATTCGGGGGTGCTCAAAAAAAAGAGACCTACTGATCAATTTCGAGTCATTCCAGATTCACCACAGGTGAGCTTCTGATGGCCTATGTCACCGAAAATACAACCTCCACTGGAGTGTGGCTTGTAATAGAAATTCTTCCCTCTTGCCACACGCTTGCCAAAAATGATATTGAAATAACCTAAGGACTCCTTTCTTGACTTCAAGCAAACATGCAAGCTTACTATCTCAATCCTATCACCAACTATAGGGAGGCAGTCTAGAACAATGATTAAGAAAGCGTTCAGACCCTGCAAGCCGGGGGACCTCAATCTAAATTCCAGCCGCACTATTTTGGAGTAGGTTCTCATGTGATGTGAGCATGTTATGGAGCTTCACTCGCTCCCACCTCCCTCCCTTGTAAAATAAGGGCCATGATTTTTAACTCCTTGATAACATTGCTGGGAGGATGCCTGGATTCTGCTTCCCAAGTACGTAGCCCTGCCATCACCGCCATCATCATCGTCAACATCACAATGATCAACTGGAAGGGTCCCCACCAATAGCACAGTTGCTTGATGATAGTTCCTGAGTGTTAGCCGTGTGCCAGGCACCCTTCTGAGCATGGGACCGGGGGGTCGTATCAGTGATGAGACACGGTCCTGCCACCACAGAACTTGCTGTGTTTGGAAAATTTTGTGTGCAGGCTATTTAAATGGGTTCTAATGAGTGCTCATTAAAATTGCATAACATTTTATTCTAAAAATTTAAACTATATTTTCTCACGGCATTCTCAACACTAGATAAATGTGGTGAGTGATGAAACTGAATGAGCCATGATTTCTCTCCCCCAGATAGGTCCTCCCTGTAACATGCAGAAAGGCCCCCAGTGGTCTAAGGACTGCTATTCATCTTCAGCACTGCAAACTCAGGAATGAGTAAAGTGATCAGATCTCTGTTTGAAAACCCCCTAAGGAAAACCCCATCCTGTTGATCTGTTAATTATTTTGGCAAAATGATGACATAAAGAGGTTAATAACTATCATGAATCTAAAGGCTGTGCTAAAAACCTCTTCAAGTGTTGTTTTGCCAGATTCTTGGAAAGCCCAGCTAATCATTCATCAAAAATACATTTGGCTCAGTTGACAGATGTGCGTGTGTACGTGCATGTACACGCATGTGTGCGTGCGTGTGTATGTGTGTACCTAAGGCTGGGTTTTGCCTTGGCTGGAAATTTATTTTATTCCTATCGTCCCAGATTTCTGAGAACAATAAGAGGAAAAGAGGCCTGTTGTCTGTGGTCGTTTAGCTCATTTGGCTGGAGTAGCAAGCGACTGAAATCACAACCCATGAGGGAACCATTAGCTTCTGGCCTGAAACACGGGTTATGTCCCTGCAAATGGAAAAGAAGAGTACACTTTGCGAGGTCAGCCTCACATCCAGAAAAAGGGCACACCTTGCAAGCTCTGCTGACAGTATCTTGGCAGTTTCACCTTTGCCCCCGAGTTCTCTCTACCTCCCTCTGAAGGCCTCAGCAAACTCATTAGCTATCTGTTTTCACACTCCTATTCTTTGGGGACCAGACCTCAGTTTTGCCACAGCGACCCCTGCCTAGAGAACCACATTTCTCTGCGACATGAGCCACCTTTGGATGTGGCTTCTAGATACGAACTGTCCTGAACCAGGGCTCTTCTCTGTTATCTACTGGCCCCCTCCCCCATTTTAGCCAGCCTCAGTGTGGTTAGTTTCTACTTACCATTTAGGCAAATCGTAATCTCCCTGATCTTTAATATTTTCATCTGCCAAAATAGAGCTAATAATACCTCTCTTTCAAGCTAGTTTTGAAGGTGAAGTAATAAATCGAGAGAGTACCCGGAGAGACCAGAGAGCACGGTGGTGAAGGGCACGGACAGCAGGGCAAGGGTGTCAGTCACTCTGTGTGCAGCTGCTTCCATTGTAAAATGGGACTATACCAATACCTCACTCATGATAGTGGCAAGGATTAAATTATGATACAAAGAAACATACAGTGCCAGGGATGAGATGAGAGTGACGGAAGGGCCAACTACTATTCGAATCGTCATTAAAACAATGCTTACTTCTCGGGGCTTAGTAAGATGGTAACTGCCAACAGTCCCATTCAGTGGGCATCAGGGAGTCAAAGGAGAGCGGAGTCCTAGGAGGAGTGGGGACATGGCTCAGCAGCTCAGTTTTCTCATGTTCCATTTGGCAGCTTCAGTTGTGCTTTTTCTAAATGCCCGTGAAGTTGCATCCATGTTGTAA